GATATTCAGTTTTAAGGCCGATACAGGCCGATACCGATAGGGGGCCGATTATATCGTGCATCCCTAATATCTATATCTCTACTTTAATTTGTCTGGGACAGTTTTAAAAACAAAATCCTTTTATTCTACTAACGTTTAGTACATTATTATTTATTATTACCTTTTTCATTTTTGAATTATTTGAATTACTAGTGTGATTTTATCATTTTATTTGATGGGACTGTATGTACGTTTTCAAGCATAGCTGTATATAAACAACGAAGAATGTGAGCATCCACAAACAGGAAACCTGAACTCTATCACCTCTGAGATTATGTCTGCGTTGCCAGTAGCAAAGGTATTAGAACATAAAAGTTGGCTGTGGAGTTTGTCTTGTTTCCTCATGCTTTTATTGGTTTTTCTCCAGGTATTTAGTTTTGGACACCATTAATAGAAGATGCCTATAGGTTAAATGGCTGCTCTAAATGGAATTTAGGGTTGACAAAATGTACCTCTGACTTCCCTGTGTGTCTAGAAAAAGGCCGAACCTCATGCAGCTGTGCAAGGTTTAAACAGGTGGAGCAAACAGATCGGTACCATGCAGGTGATTGTTATGGTTAAAGAATGAACATATGGAAAAGTAGGAGATTTAAAGGTAAATAAAGTCTTTTTGAATTTAGCTCATCCATGTGCTTCTTTAATACCAAAATTATCCTGTTTATGTGTCATTTCTGTTTACGGTCGAAATAGTTAAGAGAACACATTTATCCAAAAAAGTAGAAAGAAATTAGAATATAAGTCAGAGAGATTGAGATACTTACGATTGTGGTGAAACTCACTAAGAATTTATAAACCTCAACCTGAGGAAAACAGACAAAATAAAGTCATTATCTTATTTCAAGTCATATTTAAGTTTGAGTGAAACTTTCTTATTAGTTTATCTCACAGCTATTGTCAGTTACATCATTGGGATTTAACTTTTCCTTTTATTTAAAAACGTCAATACAACATACAGATAATCAGCGAAACACCAACAATGGGAAATCTGTGTTTCTGTCAAACTTACAATATTTGGGGGTTTAGGGTTTTCTATGACACAGAAGCTGAGCTTTGACCCTTTGAGGAAGACGCTCTTTTTGGCCAAAAGAAACTTCTGCACTTCTTTCATATTTGGAGAAAATACAAAAGCCTAAAAAAGAAAGAAAAAAACAAAAAACAAAGGTTGGTTTATTTCTCACAGTGAGACAGAAAAAACAAACTTAATGCTGAAATGGGCTGGTGAGGAGGAGGAGCGTGGCACCTACTGTTCGAGACTGAGGAACGATGAAGACTTTTTCATCTTCACAACCAACACCAGAGTTTTGGAGCAAACTGATGACGTCGGCCTCCGTGTAGCAGCCGTCTCTAAACTCCGGTAGGTTGGATATAACCAGAGTCGCATTGACACAAAGAAACTGCAGACAAACAACAGAGTAATGTTATATATTTAGAACTTAATCATAAATGAAATCATTTATGATTAACATAAATTTAATTTAGCATAAAAAAGGCAAACATGGCAGCAATTAGAAGACATAAAAATTTAAGTAACACAATGGCTCCACAACATAGTGAACGATTGACCTTTGATTGACATATTTTGCTGGCCAATAAGATGATATATCTGAAGTGCAGGGGGCGGGCTGAAAATATAGGATTCATTTACCTCCATAAGGAGTGAGAGGAGAACCTAGCAGTTACTCACAGAGTGGAATTTCACTATACTAATATTGTATATAAAAATAAATAAATAAATAGCTTGAATAAAAATTTGAGTAAATCTAAACATAGGAAAGTGTTTTTTATGGTCAAATTAGTCATAAAATTCAAATAATCCATTTTGGAAATTTTGGCCCAAATTTTGCACGATAGTGTTGAATGGACCTTTTACAAACAAAAAGCATCATAGTTTCACAATGCTTATGACAAGAGATCTGACATTTTACACAGTGGTTGTCCGCAGCATGAAGAACAAGTTTAGTAAGTGGGAGAGGTCAGCTATGAATTATACAAAAGATATAAAACAATTCTAGGGGTGAAAAAAAAAAGTTTTTTTTTGAGACATGTTGGTTGGTTGGCTCTGGTTGTGTAAAACTGAAACTAGAAGGTCTTAACTTTCAAATGAGATATATTACAAGCACGTGGAATATATAATATAATTTTACTGGCCAGTGGCATTTTTGGTATGCAATAGGTTTGTGCAAATGCCATAAAAATGTGGGTGTTAAGGGGGATTAAACTCCTTCCTCCTAATTCTACACACTAACCCTCCATCAGTCTTTGGTAGCTGTTCTGTTGCGTTTCTATAAGTTATTTTCTCACACATTTACATTTTTTGTTTTATTCTATTAGGGCATTTGCTAACAAATGTATTGAGTTGAGAAAATAATATCACAGAGGTGACTAGAACCTGTTTGAGCTTTAATTGCAACTAATTAGTTGTGAACTACATTAACAAAAAAGCTTTAAGTAAGAGTTTTTCCAAACGGAAAACTAAAGCTACAATAGGACTGAAAAAGACCTGGATATCGACATATTTACTTTATTCATATTAAACCCACATATAAAAAAAAAAAACACTTTAAAAATAATTTACATGGACCTGAGCTTGTTAAACTAAACTCACTTTTGATGAAGACACAGCCTCAGAGACCCGTTCTGTTAACAGAGATGGAGATTAATAAAAGGTTTAAACAGGAGTTATTTTAGAGATATGGCTGAAATCTGGAGATTTCTTACTGAATGCCGTCGTTGCGTTCAGGAAGATTTCCATCTTTTCTCCAGCAGTTAAACACGTGGCTGCAGTTTTGTCAAACGCACTAACTGGTTTTGTCAGAGACAAACCTCCGTCCGCCTTAGATGCTGATCTCCCCAGAAAAGCTTTAAAAAAAGAAAAAAAATTATTTTTTTGTGCATTCTTCAAAAAGCAGATAAGAACCAACGTTAAACAAACTATTCAATTAGGTTCCCAATCTATTAAGTCAAAGAGGGGCCATGGAAAAAGAACAAATGCTGGAAGACAAAGCAGAAGCGAGGAAATCAAAGTAACTTGTTTGGAAAAAAACAAACCCTGACACCTCGAACCAAAATAAGCAACCTGCGGCTTAAGCTCATATTAAAGGCTGTACCCATTTAGACTTTTGTTTTTTAACTATGCAGCACATAATATTCATTAGGGATTTTACTACCATCGCTATGATTTCAAATGAGCAGACATTGCAGCATTGTAGACTAGTTGAACCTATTGAATTACATTTAAAAATGGTCAGTTAGCATCAACTGTCATTCTTGTTCTACCAATCAGTTGTTGGTCTGAAATAGCTTCCTAAAAACAACCAACAAACTCAAATGCCAGGATTTGAAAAGCTAAATTTCCCTCTGCAGCAGCAGATTATAGCTTAACATCCAACTTAACATTTGGCACTAACAGAAAAGGTCTAAAAGGGTTTTAAATGTAGTCTATTTGTATATCATAATGACTGCATTAGAAATGGATTTTGATAAATCCTAATAAAATATAATGCTATCAATAATTTATTTATTTTAGTGAATCAAACTAAAATGTAAGACTTGCTCTGCATTTATTCCACACAGTGGAATATATCAAGCATTTGTTTCTAATAATTTTGATGATTATTGCTAACAGCCAATCAAATCACAGTATTCAATTCTTCACAAAGCTAAAAGATTACATAAAAAGAATAAAGCTGCCTGACAGCTTTAAAGTCAGTAAAACGAAGAGGGTAAGATACAAAAACTCATGAACCATAATAGAAAGATTAGTGGAGGGAAAAAAAGGAGGAAGCAGCTGTTGCCTTTTAAGTAATTTAATCTTTTTTTTATTTCGTCTAGGGCTGAAACAATTAATAGTATTAATCTGATTAATCGATTATTGAAATAATCATCAACTAATTTAGTAATCGATTAATCGTTAAATGGGTTATAATGACTGTAAAACATGACTTTAGCTGAAAGAGCAACCCACTAAGAGCAGTAATTATACCAAAATGGTAAGAAAATATTTTAAAATTTTGCATTAAAGATAAAAAAAAAATAAAATCTGTCAATATGCTCTATCCAGAACTCCTCAAGTGGAAAAGTTTTATTTTCCCCCGTCTTAATTCTTAAAAAAAAAACATCTTCTTTAAAGCATTTTTGGCTATCCGATTATTAATCAATTAATTCAAAAAGTAATTGACAGATTGCAAAATAATCATAAGTTGCAGGCTTAATTTCGATGTTTTTCTATTATCATCTCATAATCTTTAGTGTTCATCTTTCTATTTTTTACAGGTCCATCATTTAGGGTGAAGGGTTTTCTGTTTATTGGGGCTTAATAGTACTTTCTATTTTCTTAAAACAAAATCATATTTAACAATTCCTCTAAAGAAAAAGAGGATTTCCAAATAAAACACAGATAGAAGTTTCCATGCAGCCCAAACTACCTGATGTTCCTGATGTCTGCTGCTGATCGGGATTCACTGCTTTGGTTTTCTGCTCTGCTTCTGGCAAAGAAGGGCCTGGGTTTGGCTTTCTGCTCTCCTGGGCCTCTGCTTGGGTTTTAACTGGGGCTTCCTGGGTCGTAGTCTGTGGTCCTTGCGCTAAAGACGTCACAGGTTTATGTGGTCCAGTTTCAGGTTTAACTTCTTCTTTGGCTTCAGTAGAATTCTGTATCAAAGCTGTTTCCTTCAGCTCTGATGATTTAGCATCTGTGCTACACTCTGGCTGAACATCATCTTTAACCATTTCTGCCTGTTTCTTCTGTTCAGGCGCTGCTTTACTTCCCGTATCTGTAGCCTCATCCACAGATTCTTCAACTTTTCCAGAGACACAGACTTCTTTTTCTGAAACTGTAGACCTGGGTGGCACATTTCTGTCCTCTGCTTGAGTTGCTCCTGACTTTTCTTCTGCCCTAACCTCTGTTTCAGACAGGTTCTCCTTAGAGGTCAGTGGTGTTTTTGTTTCTGAGGCTACATCTTCTTTCCCTGTCGAGACCACGTCAGGATGCTCTGCAGGTTGTTGTGCATCAGGTTGCCTCTTTTCACCAGAGACATCAGCATCAGCTTCCCTTTTTCCAGTCCCAGTCCAGATGTCTTTGTTGTCCAGTTCAAGGTTGAGCGTGATCTCTGCGCATTCGTTGAGACGCCGTTTCAGACTCTTCACGCTGAAATTAAAGATAATTTGTGAACCTAATTTTATATTAAAACAAGATAAAAGTTTGTTTGATAGTAAATTGGTTAAACTGTTGAGCCAAAATGGTTTAAAATAAAATACTCACGTTTCAACGCATCGAATGTTTTCCCTGTTTTGGGGGAAAAAAAACAGTCAGTTAAGATTTTTTGTGGCATAAAAGTGCTAAAAACACTAAACTTTAAATTACTTCTTCAGTTACTTCAATACATACCACTCCTTAGGGTAAGGCGCTTGTGAAATCCTCTCCTGCACTAGTGTTACGCTGCTTGGATCTTTCATCTCAATGCATATCTGACACAGAAACACAATCATGTGCATCAAAACAGGAAACCAGCTGCATCATAAAAAGTCTTTTACAATGAAAATAGCCAAAAATGTGTCCAATTCCTTTGGCTTTAATATCCAAAGATACTTTAAGTTAGTATTGAATATTTATAAGTCATAATGAGATAAAGCGTTCATTATGCATAAGGCTAATTTGAAGTATTATTAGTAAATCTTAGAAGCAATTAGTCAATTTTGGAAATAATGAAGTCCCTCTCTGTGTTTTATATACAGGCCCCGTCCACACGAAGCCGAACCCTGGCCTAAACGCACAAATTTTTCACCAAACCAGCCTCTCATCCACACGAAGCCGGCGTTTCGGGGGTCTGTAAACGATCTTTTTTTTATTCAGCCTTCAGAGTGGGAAGATTCTGAAACGCCGTTTTCGCGTTTCCATCTTTACGCTCTAACCGCATATTTTTTTTTACACGCATGCGTCATAGCGTCGCCTCTAAACACGCATGCGCGACACATCACAACAACAATGGCGCCGTTGCTGCTAATGCTACTCACCCTGCTGTCGGGCTTACAACAGAATCTTCTTCTTCTGGAATATCTCCAGGAAGAACAGAGCAATATCGACGACATAGTTCAGCACCTGAATTTGACTGAACCACGAAAATGGACCCGCAGGGCAACCGTGTATAAATATTAGTGCGCATGCCCAATATTTCGTCGCTTATTTTCATGCATTCGTGTGGACGATCACATTTATTTTACGTCTCCGTCTTTACAGCAAACGTTTTGGAAAATATCAGCGTTTCGTGTTCGTTTTGACTTCGTGTGGACGGGGCCTCAGTGATCCTCTACTTTATCAGAGAGAAGCTCAAGGTGTCTGTGCTGCTATCAGACTTTACAATGCAGCATTATAACTGCAATAACTAATGTGCAATTACTACTTAATACCCTGTGCAATGATCCAGTCAAATACATATATATGTGTCACCCGTTAGATATGTATATATGCACCTTTTCCTCCTTTTCACACCTTATTTTGACTATCGAACCAATGTGACAAGTGAATTTCTCCACTATGAGATCAATAACGTCTAATTTATCTGATCGGTTTTCATACCCTGTTGGCGAGCGGCAGAAAACTGACGAGCGGCGCAATGGACGCCACTTTTCTCAAGACGTTACTGATGTGGTACACGGAAATCTCAGAAAGAACAACGAGCACCAGTCGCTCCTCCAGGGACTCCAGCTCTGGAACATGCTGGAAAATAGTGGACCATGTTAATTAAACAAAAATAAAAAAACAGGTTAAGAAGTAATAAAATGTTGGTGAAGGAACAACCAACTCACAGAATTGCTCCATTTCATCATGTTCCTGTACATTATCTCCTATAAAGAAAAAGAAACATATAAAAAATAAATAAATAAAACATTTTAGAATCCCTTTAAGTTCAGATCCAAATTATGATTCACAAGAGATCCATCACCAAGAATATTATTTAGAAGATTATTCGATTCAGTATTTCTTTCAAATGGGTTCAAAACAATCAACAAACACTGACATAGTTTAAATTTCTCTTATTTCTATTAATATGGCCAATATCAAATGAAAAAAAAAAAAAAACTTTTGTTTTCCTCACTATAGATCAATTAAGATTAGACGTTTGCCAATACAAAGTCAGATACTTTAATGCTAAGATATCTTTTATGACTTAGGATTAAAATGCTGTAAAATTTCATTTGCATTGTTTTCTAGGACAGGGCAAAATATATAAAAGGTAAAATATTGAGATTTTCCTTCAAAAGTGATAAGATGGGATTATGTTGTTTAAATCACAGTTATCTATGCTGCTTATACTTCAAATTGTATATATTTTCAGCCATTTATAAAGCTGTAGGTACAAAGTGTGACACTAGCAATATATATATATATATATATATATATATATATATATATATATATATATAATTGCTTTATGAAGATAAAAACAAATCAAATATTGCATACTGCAATACTGTTTGAAAATAATCATTTTGATCCTGGTTTCATGCCACACATTTAAATCTCTCAACAATGACCTTCCAGATGCTGCTATGACCTTTTCCAAACAGTGATATTACTTTTATCAAACCCGACCCTGCATAGCAGCTCTTCAGTAAACTCTCATGTATTTTCTACTAGCTGTTTAACTTGGTTTTGTAAAGCTAGAGTAGGCTAATGATACTCTGTTTTCTCTCCTTTTTGATTTGACTCATTGGTAAATTAAGCTTAAACACATTTAACTGGAATTCAAGTAATTTTGTGCAAAAAAAAAATAGAAAAAGTTGTAATAATCCTCCATTAAGTGCACCAAAGCCTGGTGTTTCCGCTGCTGTCTGCACAGAGCAGGTTTAACCCTTTAGAGCTTAAGTTACCATTTCTGATCACTTGCATAATGCATAGCCCTTACAAATCGAGTCCCTGAGTGAGATTTTTGTGTTTTTCATTAAATTCTTCTAGAACAGGGGTCACCAACCTTTTTAAGGCTGAGGGCCACTTCAAGGGTACCGAGATGTAGGAAGGGCGACCATTACTGACCCATGAGCTGCAAGGGTTAACGTTAGCCTAAACTTTGTACATTATCAACATTTTCATTGTTTCTGTTAATTTCTAAGTTTATTTAGACATTGTCATTTTTGAAATCTCTATAAATGATTAAAAAGAAGAGCAACAGAATACAATAACATTTTATTTAGAAGGCTCCATGGGCCCTCTGTTGGTGACCCCTGTTCTAGAAGCATTTTTGTTATTATTCTTAATATATTCGGGCAAGTTGGCGTTTCTTGTTATTACATATACATTAATTATTGCCATCAAAATATCCATATTTTTGGAATGTTACAAAGGTAATAAATTCTAGTCCTGGATTGGCTTAAAATGTAAATTTTCAAAGTATTTCACTGAGTGCCCAAAAAGGTTTAAGCTTCATGTAAATGTAGCTGCATTTTTAATCATAAAAAACGGACTTTGCTAGCATCTAGAATTTGTAGCTGCAAAGCTTTTCTACAAAATTATTTTCTTTCTTATTTGTTACAGAATACTTCAGCCAACTTCTATGGTCTGTTGGAACAGTGGCTAATCTGTAGCGGAGAGAAAGCGACTGGATAAGCTGATCAGGAAGGCCAGCTCTTTGATTGGATGCCTTCTAGACTCTGAGTGCAGGAGTTGGGAAAGAAAAGGATCCTAATTAAAGTAACATCTCTGTTGGATAATGTCTCCCACCCCATGCATGAAGCTGGTGCTGAGCTGGAGAGCTCCTTCAGTGACAGACTGCTGCACCCTAAATGCTCCAGGAAGCATTATCACAGATCTTTCCTGCTAATCATTCATGCAAATATTTGCAATTTCTATCTTAGTCAGTTAAATAACCTGCTGCTGTCATTTTGCACGTCTCTGATGTTGCTGCTATTTTTCACATATCCATTACTGTAAAAATGTCCATAGCTGCATATTGATTATGTATTCTCCAGATACACAGGATTTATATTTGCATAAACACTGTAGACTACATTATTTTATTTGTTTATTTAATTAACTCTTTCACTTATTGTGTTATTTTTATACACTTTTGCAAAAGTAAACAATTGTGTAACCATTTCTGCTAGAACCTTTTGCTGCTAAATCGCCACAATTTCCCCAATATAGGACAATAAAGGGCTCTTCTTCTCTATTCTATTCAAAGCTGAAGTTCTGAACTGAAATGCTAAAACATCTTTTGGCCAAATAGGTGCCAAGAAAAAAAAGACCTGATCCTGCACATCTCTCACAGGAGAAATGCATGATACAGACACAATTATTTTAACCTGTAGAATAATAGGGCAGCTTACCTCGCTGAGTCCAACAGGCATTTCCTGTAAGACTTGGTGGACGTACAGCTGCTGGTCTTTGATGGAAGCAGGACATTTGAGGAAATTTTCCACAAAACTGCAGCAAGAATTCCAGTCATTGAAATGCACAAAAGCCTGGAAGAGAGGTAAAGCATACGGTCATTTATAGTAATAGAGATAAGAAACCAGAGCTGGTTACCAGCTGCTTACCCTCCTCTGCAGAGGTAGAACCACAATGTTGTAGAGCAGAGTCTGAAGGTTCTGTTTGGGGAAATAGCTCCACACCAGCTTGGCAATGTCTTCGTGTTTGTAGTTTCCTTCAGGTAAACATGTCAACATGATGGTGGAGGACTTGTTGGCCTTAGAGGCAGGTGTCTGCAGAAGGAGGTGGTCAGAAATAAAAGGTTTTCTTTCAGGAACAGAAATCTGTTTCCTTATCAGAAGTTAAAGACATAGAGGACCATCATTTATTTCTGGGTGGATCATATGAATAAGTGGTCCTCCTAATTGTCAATCATTCCGGTTATATGTTTAGGTAAGGCCGTCCTTCATCCTAGTCCCATTAGCTATCTTTTTCTCCGCATGCGCAATTTCAGTCATATATCTGTGATGAGCTACGGTTTCAGACAGTCATTAAAGCTCACCTTTGGCCGAAGGTGGTAGGAGAAAAAGTGTCTACGAAGTGTATGAGAAGAAAAGAAAGGCCTCAGAAGAGGCAGATATATCCCAGAATGCTTTGCACGGAGAGCTCACCTCGCATAGCAATATGGCAATTGCTGTCATAATGGCCCACTGTCACCACAGGCTGTCGCTACCCGACAGCGGCGACTATTAACAAAGATGGCGCAGGCACCACGCAGTGAAGGAGGAGTTATACGACCAACTGGGAGCAAAAAGCAGTGATCATCTGGTCGGTTAACCAAGTTCACTATAAAGTCCACTATATAGTCCCCACTCTATATAGTAATTAAGGTGGACATTAGGGCACAGTAAGCTTGTATGAGCTATGAGAACACAAGTGTGCACGAGGAAAAATGGGCTCGTGGATGCTGTCACACGCGTTGAATAGGCGTTTGCTCTTCGGAGCAGGTACAGGATTGTGCATGTGCATTTTTTGTTTTTTAAGTGGAAAGGGCGGAAAAATCCTCAAATATACCTTTAATGAAGGATACATTTTTTTGAAAAAAAATATTTAAAAAAAAATAAATAAATATGCTAAATACAAAAGGTGCTAAAATAACACTCACCCACATGTCTCTCTTAGTCTTGATTGTACTAAAATCTAAAAGAAAAGTGTAAAATTACTAATTACTTCTTCAGATCCTACACGAGTTTTTATTTGCATCTTTTAATTCCTCTCACTTGGGATGATAAACCAGGGAGACGTGGTCGGGAAGATGAAGGGATCAGTCATCAAGGTGACTGAAAATGGTGCTATGCTGCCCGGTGGAACGCCAAAGCTTGTTACCGGGACGACTGCTCCGGTTACCATATCCACGCTGTCTGGCAGAGCCTTCAGTGCCAGCCGTGGTGCTGCGTTCAGAAACACAAAGAAAGGCAATTAGTGTGTTCAAATCAATCCTGAGATATAGATATAAATGAAAAGGGCATTTAACGCAGCTGAATTTAATTATCAATCATGACTGAGTCATTATTTCATTTATTGTGTACTTTTAGCAACATTATTACAGCTGGTTGGTCTGATATTCTTATTCCTAGAAACATGGATATCCTTCTTTCCAATAGGACTTCAATAAACAAAGGAAGCTCTGGAGATAAACTTGATGACGATATCTTTAAAAACCTGATTTTTGTTTATAAATGATGCCTTTACTTTCCTCATGAAACACAACCCCTTAAAGTTAAAAGTTAATTTTATATTAAAATGTTTTAACGCATAAAAATATATAAGTACTTCCTATTTTAAATATGCACCAACTGAAAATTTTCAAGAAAACATTACTGCTATTGTAATTTCTTTCAATAGTGTAAATTGTCAGAATGGCATTTGGTGCCACTTCGTGTCCAGCATAAATAACTTTCATGTAAAGGTCATTAAAATGACTTTAAAAGTATCAATATGCATTTTCTTCCATTTTTGGTAGTTAATGTAATTTGCAGTCCCATAATTTCAAACTACTATTTCTATTGCTATCATGCTTTTCATTAGGATATATCCCAACTTTGATTTAATTTGAAAATATCAAATGTGGGTTGAACAATCATCTGGTGCGGCCATTGCAGAGGCTTTAAGTTATAAATATGTGTCCTAAATTGGTCATATTTGTGCTTTTATAATGAACTGATAGTTTCTATAATCACGGCTTCTTTAAATTGGCCACGAGTTGTTTTCACTACTATTAAATATACAATGTTTTACCTCATTTCTACACAATACAAGAAAAAAAATATAAGCAGCAATGATTGGGGCCTGTAATTCAACTAATTACACTGCAGACTTTGTGACCTCAGGACTTGACGCTAGTTATTTTAAATGATTCCTCAGGCCAATATACAGCGCTCGACTAGGGCTGGGTATTTTTCGCCAAAGTCCTGAATCGATTCGATTTTGATTAATGCAGTTCTATATCGATTAATTTCGATTCGATCTGTTTTTACAATAATGAAAGTGGTTCAACTGTGTTTTAAAATACTCATGTATTTTATTTTTTCCTGGCACATTAAACACAAAGTGCAAACTTGTAAATCCGACAGTTTAAACATGAGATGTGAACAAAACTGTCTCAAAAGTGCGAAATTGTTTGTTAAAAGTGGAAAAAATGAAGCTTTACTCGAGCAAGCAGACATGACACAGCAGACATAAATGAGCTGCATTATCTTCAATGCACAAACCATATTTGTAGCGTTGTCTGTAACAACTACAGGGTGTTTTCTGCTCAACACCCATTTGTTAATGTCTTCAGTCAACCTATTGGGTATATTTGCAGCTGTCTGGCTTGAAGTAATCTTGAGTGCATCTTTCCTGCTCATTTGAATGTGAATGTCACGCATCTCATTCCCTAGACATCGATTTTGCAAAAACGTAAAGGAATCGATTAAAAATCGATTAAATCGATTTTTTTTTACCTAGCCCTACGCTTGACACTATCAATGAAATAACAACTACATACCGGTAAGTTGGGAGACGACACACCGTCGTTGGCTTATATATTCCTGGAGCTAAGGCTTTAGCTCTACTATTTTTCTGCCTGCTCTACGATTGGTAAAAGCTGAGGCAAAGAAAAAGTTTAAATCTTCTTAGGAGTCGTGAGCTGTATGCCAAAATCATCCATATTAAGACAATATAAGACCTGAAATATTTCAGTTCGTGTGCAATGAATCTAAAATATATGAATGTTCAAGTTTTATCATTACATTATGGAAAATAATGAACTTCATCACAATATGCTAATATTTTGAGCAGGACCTGTAGTTCTTACATGATACGTGCTTTTCACAGAATAAACACAAGCAATGATTTCCCCAGATTTGAGGCTTACGTTGAGACTTGCAGCTTCCCCGGGGCAGTTTCATCCTCTGGACTTTATGTGCAGGGCAGCGTTTCAGGAGGCTGTACCAAACTCCGATTCGATCAGCATCACGGGCCGACTCAAACTCTACAAACACCTGGACATTAAAAAAAGTCCCAGCAGAGTCAGGCTGGATGAATTTGACCTGAACAAATGCAGTAAGGGTGTATGTTTGATTCTACCTTGTTGAGCAGAGGGAGGATGTTTTTAACAGAATCCATTTTTCTCAGAGTTTCTCTGAGCTTCAAGGTCTCACTCAGCGAGATGTTCTGGATGTAGATCGTACTGGTCCCATCATCTTTGACCGGCTGTTCAAGAAAGGAAAAAAAACATAAAAAGAATTTTTTTTTGTTTTTTAACCTTAACAAGTTTATTACTTGTAGATTTTGAGTAACAGATTAAGCTGGGAGGGTGGTAGCCTGGTGGTTAGAGCAGTGCGCTTGCGCTCTGAGAAGGTTGCAAGTACCTGGTTCAATCCCTACAGCCTGCATTCTGGGTCCCTGAGCAAGACCTTAAACCTACACTGCTCCCCGGGCACCGCACAATGGCAGCCCACTGCTCCCCAAGGGGATGGGTTAAAATACAGAGAGTTAATTTCTCCAATATGAGATAATAAATTTCAGTTATTATTATAATAGAAAATCCTTAGTGGATGAAAAAACTATGGAAAAAACAGATAAAATGGCAGCATTTTGAATTAGATAATAGTAACATTAATACTTATACAACCTAACTGAAAAAAAAAGTTACGATGTGGTGAAAAAAAACCCACAAAACATCTGAAACTACCTTCTACAAAAACATTTTTTCCAACCTAATGCAAACAATTTTCTGACCATATTGATATCATTATATCTCATTTTGTCTTCCGATTAAGCAACAGTTTCAATGTGACATTTTCCAACTTTAACCTTTAACCAAATCCAGATCGCAGTGAGGTCACAAAGGACCAAAATGATCTCAGTCTGGAGAAAAGGAGAGAAATATCTGGAAACAGACCAGAGCACAGGATGGGAAGAGCTCGTGAAGAAAGGCGTAGTTACTTACAAAACCGACCAGTTCCATCAGAGACTTGTAGAATTCCAACTGAAAGAAGAACAGAATCGTTTCGTGATTAATCCGGTTTAGTTTCTGCTGTGTTTAAACTACTTAAACTGATAAATGTTGATCATTTTGAAGTGATGCTTAGTTTAAATAGCATTCATGGAGAAATGATAGAACAAAAGAAGAGGAGAAGCCGACCATCACTTCCTGAAATAATTTCATTTTATGTTAGCTCATTCTGTTAATTTGCTGGTAAAAAATCACGTCCCCTCTCCTAATCTTTTATGACTTTTAAAAAGATAATTTAATAGAAAACAGCTGATGTCAGTTATAAGTAATCAAAACAGAAGCCGTTTGTGTGAAAAGTTTTGCTGTGTTTATCAAAGATAATTTAACTGATCTAGCATTTTGTGTTGCACCAAAGGTTGCTTTTTAAGTAAAAGTGACTAGATGGATGTGGTCCTATTATATTATTATTAAAATAAACAATACATGTTTTAACCTGATGTTTTCAAAGGCAAAGAAAAATATATTTAATTAATTTGTGCATAATATTTTTCTTATTAAAAACATCAGTAACTTTCCAGCACTGCTCTAAATAACCATGTATCTATTTCAAATGAACCAATATGTTTGAAAATGAACAAAAATGTTTAGATTTAATACATTAATCTGACTTACCGGTTCCATAAAAATCTTGCTGGTGACAATCTGGACACAGAGTTTGGATCCACTTAGAGTGAAGGAACCACTCTGGGAAGACGTGAAAACATTTTGTGCGCATCGGAAATTGGGCATCAGCACAAATGCCTGAAAAGAAAAGAAAAAAAATAATTTGTTTAGACTCTCCTACAGCATTAAGATTAACCTATAACAACTTGTTACCTCTAGGGATTGACTTCTATAATTCTACATTATTAGCAAGTCCAGTAGATAGTTAAAAGCTGTCAGCTAAACCAAAATGCTGCAGCCAGAGTTCTGATGAAAATTAAAAAGAGAGATCATATCTCTCCTATCCTGGCTTCCTGTTAAATCCAGAATAGAATTTAAAATTCTCCTTCTCACATATAAAGCCTTAAATGGCCAAGCTCCATCTTATATCAGAGATATGATTGTTCCTTATGTTCCTAACAGAGCACTTCGCTCTCAATCTGCAGGTTTACTAGTGGTTCCTAGAATTTCTAAAAGCAGAAAGTGAGGTAGATATTTTAATGATCGGGCTCCTCTCCTGTGGAACCAACTACCAGTTTTAGTCTTAACCTGTTTTATCAAAAAGGAAAAGTTTTAACTATCTCTATAGTTATGCTGCTATAGGCTCAGACTGCTGGAGGACATAGCATAGTCCCCCACACGTTCAGGTACTCGCAGCTATCCAGCAAGTACCCATATAAAACATACATCTACGGGTAGTAAAAGCCCCATATTATTTCACGGGTGCAGGCATGGGGATAAATGAACGAAATGTGGGTATCAGCGTTAAAGCAATAATGAAATGATTCATTTACTCTACATCTTAAAATAAACTGATTCAAGAATATCCAGATAAGACTATTTTTTTATGCAACAAGGCAAACTTTCTTACTTCAGCCAATTTATAGATGTTAATCTGTGAGCGCAGTTCACACTGGATGCGAGCGTGAGGCAATGTTCTTTAATGCCTCTATTATTATAAACAGCTGTGTGTACACTTTGTGATCACGGGTCGGGTTGCACTTTATTATTCACAGGTCCTTGCGGTCCCGGACGGCTTTTAAATGGGGATAATTGCGGCTAACAGGTCGGGTCTCGGTTCTGAAGTGTGCGGTTGCGTGGATACAGTTTTGGAAAAATCAGACCCATGCAGGACTCTGGGACATAGTGTTCCATTTTCATTATTCTGCTTCACCATTCAGCAGGATTTGTTTGTTTAAAGGGGATGGATATTTCTTCCTATTAGAAAGGGAGGTTTTCCTCTCCACTGTTGCCGTATGCATGCTCTGTGTGAGGGATTGCTATGGAGTCCATGATACATTGTAAGCAAATATCTGGTGTCACCGGATGAAAAAAAAAAACAATCTGACGTTATGACTGGATTGAATCGTCTTTGTAAAGTGCATTGAGATGACATGCAGAATTGTGAATTGGAACATATCAATAAACTGAACTGAATGAATGTTAAACTTGGGCCTACCATGCACGCCTGAGGAATCACGTAGATGTTTTTTTGTTCGTACTGGAATCCAAACTTCTTGAACAGATCTGCAACGTCACTTTCAGAGTAGCAGCCATCGTAATACTTTGGCAGGTTGCTTATTAATAATAGTCTTGTGTAGTTAGAATAAAACTGGAAGAAAAAAAAAAAAAAAAGAGAGTCATAAAAAATTTGTTTTAGCTTTTAAACAAATCCTTCCGAGTCTGATTTATTTGTGAAATTCAGAACAAAAAAAGAAATAAAATGTAAATAGCAAAGATATTATCTGTTCATTCAATATAGATCAACAGAGTTATGTACAAATGAAGAGAAAAGAATGAAGTTTAGTTATTTTTCAAGCTGATAGTTACAGTCTCTAATAAATCTGTTAAATCCCTGGTAAAAACGTATATCACAATAAATAAAGGACTCTCCTGTTGTAATAGGATAGTCTGTCTCGCTAATTTTTTTCTTTAGAGGACTCTGACCTTAATATATAGAATTTTTTTTTTTGTGGGAAAGAAATTCAAAACAAAGAAAATGAGCCTCTAACAGACAGACGGAGACAGGACAGAGTACTGATACAACGTCTTAGTGACACATTTCAGAGGAAAGCTTTTAGTACAGTTTATCAAATGAGAAGCCTTACTTTTTTTGACATGATGACAGATTTTTCAAGACAGACTGTAATAGAAAGAGAAAGTTAGAAAAATAAAACGTAAACAAAAAATAAGAAGCATGGCAATTTTTAATTCTAAATACGTTTCTCACGGATTTGATCTGGATTCAGCAGGGTTTCTAGCTTCTCTCCCACAGTCAGGCAGGGATCTGCAGCTGCTGGCTTCTGATTGGCTGGGGCTGTGGCTTTCGGCTGGGTTTTGACAACTGCTGCCGATGGTTCAGCCAAAACAGCGGAAACGTTACACACAGCTGCTGCAGGTGACAAAGAAAAAATGTATATATTATTGAGAATAAAAAGGAATAATTTGACTATTTTAGCCAGTCTCCTTTGGTCAAGTTGAACCTTATTGTTTTCTAAATAATGGTATATTTAGGAGTAATAAAGGATTTTTGGTTGATTTTTATGCAGAAGCTGTAAAATAAGAACAAGCAGAAAACATTGAATAAACTATTAAATTCTAGGGAAAATTTAACAAGAATAGAAAACAGAACTGAGAATGAGTCAATTTCTTTTACAGATTCTTTTGGGATTAAAGATGGAGAAGATGGTGATGGTTTAGTAGTAAACATAGACTCTAATGTTGCAGTTATGTTTACTCAGATGTGTTCCTGAACTCCTGCTGGTCTAAAATTAGGTTTAGTTTAAAGGATAACTTGTGTTTTCTGGTGTTTTTTCCCCCCTGTAACACTACTACTATAGGGTGGATTCCACTTTGAATCCTTTTTTTAATCTGAATCAATCAATTTAATTTCTCTATTCAAAAGCCTCCAAGTTTTTTATTCTGGTTTGGGCTCGTTTCCCCAAATCTAAAATCTAACAACAGCTTGCTACGATGGTGGCATGACGATGAACTGTGAAAAAAAACCTGAAGTCTAAGTTAGTCAATTTTTCTTCAATTAAATGTTGTTGTTTTTTTTTAATTGAGCAGCTAAATTAGACACTTCACCAATGGAATCATACAATCTATTATTTCGAGTGTTTAATATCTAATATCTAATATCTAAGGGTAAAAACGCTAATTCCTTTGGCAGATCATATTATTTACTTACTACAAATTAAGGCTAAATGCAATTATTTCAACACATTTCTGCCAATTTTTTTGTTGTTGTTGTTTTGCTCTGGGAATGTTTTTATTCAGCAGGTACTGCAAACTATTCTGGAATGATTGCAGAATAGATTAAATAAATTGTTTTTAAAAAAGACAGAATACCGGTGGAAGCTGAGCAGCCAGCAAGTAAAACGATCCTAAAAGCTAAAATAGAACAGTTTAGATCAAAGCAAAATGTCCTAGTCAAAGTTCAGACCAAAATCCAATTGAGAATCTCTGCAACAATTGAAATTGTATATTTGTTATACTCTTATCTGTTGGATTTTCTAAATCCTTTTCCATGTTATATAGTTAAAGTCTTGTTGCTCTCTGCTATGATCCACACTGATGGTTCACTCAGCAGTATGGCTGGAGTAGAGCTAAGAGACTTTGATGCACAATTTCTCTCCTCTTTTGCAAAAGCTGGTGAAACTTACACTGGTTCTGCCTGGTCTCTCTATTTATAGGTTAGGAGAGCAAAATAAACGTATTACTTTCCAATCTGATTTACTTTCAGCTATTTTGTAAAGATGGATGAAAACGTCATTCTTTAAATCTGCAAAGCTGGGGGGATGAACCCAAAACAATTTTGCTGATCTAATTACCACTAAATTTGGTTCTATTAAGTACTAACTAATAGACGATCCATATTACTTTGTTGCAGCATGGCAAAATGTAAAAATTTGTGTACAAGGACACTTCAGCTTCACATTCTCCTGCAGGCAGACATACCTGCTGTAGAGGAGTCTTTCTTGCAGGGCTGATTGGCGGCTGAAAGCGTTTCTGGGCTGAGCTTATCTTCAGCTGTCTTCTCTGATTTAGGCAGAGTTTCAGGAGGAGTGGCCTTTTCTGAACTTTTAGAAACATTGGGAGCTTCAGCAGCTCTTTCTTTGGGCACATCCTCCTGTTGTGGAAGGCTGGGAGGATGTGGAGCTCTTTGCACAAACTCCTCCTTCGTTTCAGAAACTTTGACAGGCCCAGCAGAAACACCGAGGTTTGGCTCCTTCTCAAGTTGCTCTTCGGGTCTTTCCTCTGGTTTAGAAATGTCATTAAGGTCAGCAACATTTCCTGCAGGTGTTGCTTTACATTTCAAAGTGTTGATGTCCTCTCCTTTCAGTGACCAATCTGCAGCTCTTCTCTCAGTTTTAGAACCTTCAGTTAAATCGGTAAATCTTTCACCTGATTTTTCCTCAAGTCCAGAATCACTGGGAGCATCAACACCTCTTTCTACATGATTTTCATCAGATTTAGAAACTGTTGCCTCAGTGGATGAAGACGCCTCAGCAGATTCTGATTGAGCAACATTATGAGACGTCTCAGAAGGAGGAGGCAGGGCTGCTGATTGGACGACCGGAGACTCAGCTCCACCTGCTGAGGAGCTTCCTTCAACGTTTAACGGGATCTTCTCAGAGTCTTCAATGCGCTTTTTGAGACTCTTCAAACTGGAATAATAATAGTATAAATTAGCCAAAGAAAAAAATATTTAGAGAGATACAGAAAAATGAAGAACTCTAAGTAATATGGACAGATTATGGAACCAATGATTTCTTTCTCAGATTAATTTAACCTTGGATGTCTAGATTAAAGCATACTGAGGACCTCAACCTCATTCTAAGCAGTAAATAAAGTCAAAGATGAAAACAAAATCTCTAACCCTACCCTAGCCTTTTTAAATTTAATGATAAATCAAAATCTTATCAGAATACTAAGGGAGATTATAATTAATAATGATAAAGTGAGGATAAGAAAGGAAAACCTTACTTCTTTGCAGTCTGTCTTAGATAACTCTATGGTGGTTTTATTTTACCAAGCAAACACTAACAATACTCTTAAACGATATACACATCAAAATGTGGCTTGTGTATTTAGTTATTTTCTACAGATTTGTCAATATAAATATAAAAATAAAAGAAGAAAAACAGTGGAAAAAAATTTTGATTATTCAGTGGGTTTCTGGAGTTTTTAATCATCACTAAGTCTTATTTATTGTTTAGAGGAGAAATCAAAATTGATATCATGATTATCATGTTAAGATAAATGATACAAAAAATGCCCAACACAAGCAAGATATAAACAAAGTCCTTAGAGGAAAACACCTGTCCCACTGTCATTAATTAACATGCTCTATTTTAAGAAACTAAGAAGAGCAGAAAAGGAAAAATACTCACGACTCAACACGCCCAACTTTGCTCCTGATAAAAAAGAAAAAAAAAATTTCAAAGTGTAGTCAGTGCATCTTAATACATCTATAATCTAAATATTTCATTTTTTTCCCCAATTTAACTCAAATTTATCGACACATTCGACTTTTCAGAACAAGTATTTTGGTAAAATCATGGTGGAAAAAGTCCAACCTATGCATATAATAGAAGAACATATTTCCGATTACATGAAAATTCCCTTTTTTTTAAATGCTTTTCTTCTTTGTAGTTTGAGATCATTTGCAAAAAGAAATCACCTATAGATTTAATCTGGATAATTTTCAGCCTGATAAACCAGAGATCAGAAAGGATGACCATTAGTGAAACAGATTTATCTGAAGCAATAAGCAGACTCTGTTCTCTCCTCAGAGTAAGTCATAAACTTTTTTATTCAGTATAAAACTGTGCACTTGTTCAAAACCACAAAGCTCCCTGAAATACCAAGTTTCTGATACTAAATGGTATATCTATATGCTCTCAATCAACTTCTGGACCAAATCCTGACTGATAGCAGTCCATTCTGGCACAATCAATGCTTGCATTTTGACAGCATTCCTAGGTTTTCGTTTGTCCACCCGTCTCTTGATGATTGACCACAAGTTTTCAATGGGATTAAGATCAGGGGAGTTTCCATAGCCTGGGTGCCATTCCGAACTTAGTCCCGCCCACAACGTTTGAGGTCGGGAAGTTCGGTCTGGCATTGCTCAACAGTAGCGCGAGTATGCTCGCACAATATCTGGCGTGCCAATCAAATTGTCAGGGC